ACTTGGGCCACATCATATGTTCCTGCAGGCTATGTTTCATCATTAACTGTAATAGTGCATTGGTTTCACATAACCAACTGGAGGTCTTCTAAAACATAGCTAACTTTTAATATGTTGGGGGCTGGTTTTAGGCATAGTCTCCAGTTTTCCTTTGATTTTAAGTGTCCATAATTCTTAACATTTGTTTTCCAAGATTCCTTTCCCTTTTGTAATGTGATATGAGTTTAAAATAAGATTTTCATTTAGAAATGTCGTATTTAATTGATATCTTTTATAAGTTCTTGATTGTTATCAATACATACTTCTAATTTGAAATACAAACAAAACTCTCACATGAGAAGAGTAGATGTTGAATATCTGAATGGTGGAAATTTTCAACCTGGTTGGCGGGTCTATATAAATGCTTACATACACACACACACACATCATACCTCTCCCTCCCAAATAATTCTCTATGTATAGTTTAGATATCTCCATACCCCTGTGGGTATCTATTTAATATAGGCAGTGAGTCTTATTACTGTATCTTATTGGATGCACAGAATGCTTTAAAAATCTCTCCCAGCAAGTACAGTCTTTAGGATCCTTTATTCATTGTAATTACTCTTTTATAAAGAATTATTTTATTTAACTTTATTTATTCATTTTAATTTAACCAGAGAGGGGCAGAGTAAGAGAGAGAGAGAGGGAAAGTGAGAAAGCAAACTGCCAGGTTTAGGACTCAAACCATGGTCGACCATGTGGGAGTCCAGAGCTTTTAACACCACACCACCTGCCGGCCCCTCATTTTAATTACTTTTATTTTCGTAGCTTTTATCAATTAAAAATAAATTTCTACACAATTGGCATTTAGTGAGGCAATGACAGCTAGAAAAAACATGATTTAAGTTTCTACCTAGCTTTCAAGTGCCAAAAGGTGTGTCTTTAATTATGAGACCTCTAACTCCCTTGCATTAAGGGATAACAATAATTGGCAGGCACTGTATCTGGAATTCACAATTCCACATGCTCTAGAAGGAAACCCAGTAATGGAAACATAATGCCTTTCTGCTGGCAGATTTGATTCACACAGAAACCTTTAGTTAAGCAATTAATATTAGAAAAAAAAACAATAAATATAATGCCTTAATGGTTTCTTCTTCAGGTTCTTTAACTGAGACAAGTGTCTCATTTCATAAGGTATAGTATATTGTACGTAGCTTCTATCGATGACTCCCCTTGACTTGGAAACTCTGTCAGAGTAGTCAACATCTTCTTGCATTTCATGCATGTGTATATTTTAGGCACCCAGAAGCTTAGGGAAAAAGTAATAATAGTATAATCCCCATTTGAGAAAAACACATTTATGAGGGTAGGAGTTTTTCCTTGACATGGTGTTGGTTTCATGCCAGACAAGGCACATCCTTGATGATGTTTCTGAATGTGCCCATCATCATTACACCCGCAACCCCAGCCACCACTGTCCAGCCATATTCTTCTTTTCAATGTAAAGGCATTAAAATCACATGTATTTGCACAGAAGGGGGCTCTCAAATCAGTTCCAGGCTTTTGATGCAAAATCTCATTTCCATTGACCTTAAATGAGTTTCTGTTAACAGAGGATTATTTGAGAAAAGAGTTGTGTATATCAGGGAGGAGGCTGTGATAGAAGAGGAAATCTAGCATTTTGGCTTTGAAATGTCTGTTTTCCAACAGTGGAGAAAGAGAATGAGAGTAGTTATTTAGAGTTGTAGAGGTGGTTGTGTGCAAATCATTGAACCTCACCAAGTCAATCATGCAACTGAAGCTCACATCCTCACCTGTGTGATAGCAAGACCACCTCATTCTAGTATATTGCAGTTCCTCTGACTCAGTACTCACTGAATGCAATCAACAAAGCATGCACGTGGGAGTGAGGGAGGGGTAGATTTTAAGAGTAGGTTGTTATTTCATCAATGCTTATTGCTTTGGCAATGAAAACCTTGAGATTTAAAGCCCTGCTTATAGATGAACCTTTCTTAATCTGTGTTTAACTACTTTATATACAAAGGCACTAAAAAAAGTTTGTGAAAAAATTAACCTATAATTTATTTTGTTGGAAATAAATAGAAATCCACACATAATTTTCACAATAGGCATTTTTCCATTAACCTGAAGTCTTCTTTTACGTGTTTATTGTTTCTTACTACAGACGTACTTTGATAAGAGTCTGTAGATGACATGATTATGTGGAAACTTTTATCCAAGGAAATACTATACCATGTATCCTTTAAGATTTCAAGAAGGCCTATTAACTGCTCGTTCTTTTTAATTGAAGAATGCTGAGAAGATTAAATAAAGTACACACAAAAAAATACCTGGAAAAGGGCCTAATAGTGATATATGTTATTAACTAGTAGCTTATGGGAATTTATTTTTTTAGAGCTGTGACCTTTAAGTGACAATCTTTTCTGGATTGGCTTTTCTTAGAATCACTACCAAATATTACCTAAATTAAATAGAGAACATCGTCTTTGACCTCTTCTTTAATTTAAAGAACATCTGACTTTAATGCATGATTTGTAACTTAGTACTACCTAATCTCTAAAAGAAAGGCTTCCATTGTATCATAAAGGTGATTGAAGCTCAAGACAAAACCAAGAAAAGACAATCATAATTCTTTTTCAAAAAACAATATATGAACTAAATTATAAAACATCTTCTAAACTAAATTAATGATAGCTCAAAGGATTTTTTTCACCATTTGATTTAGCTATTCTTCATTTTACATAAATGTAGAAATACAGTAGGAATGATAATATGAGAATATTTACTAATGATGCACTAACTGTAGGCATATAGTAGAAAACAAGGAAAAGCTAGGATTTTTCTTTTCATACATTGTTTTATTCAACTGGAAATAATTTTACTTATTTGTGTGTCTACCTTTATTTTCTTTTTTACTTCCTCTATTTAAATATAATAGTACTATCATCTGATTCTATTTCTCTTTCATGTTAAGTTTGCTTTGTTTTGTTTTGAATTTTAAGTCTGAGGCTTTTAGGGAAAATACTTTGTGTTTTTGTCTCTTCTGTGACATTGTGAAAGGTCACAATTGATAATGGAAGTGCTCTGGAATTATATCTAAAAAGGAAATGTGAACTCCAAAATGCTATGGAGAGAATTGTAATGTGGGACCAGCAGTTAGCATAATGGCTATGTCACTGAACTCCCATGTAGTAGACTGTGGTTCGAGTCCTGGACCCGGTGACTTAAACTCATGCCGGGCACGTGTGCATGCGTGCCCAAGATCCTGAGAGGAGAATGGAGGAAAAGGGATTGCAGCATGGCCATCCCCCTGGTGGGTGATTTCTTGCTTTCTATCTCTCTGTCTCTCTCTGTCTTTCTGCTGACAGCATGTACCCTATAGCAAAAACCTCTCCAAAAAGCAAAAAAAAAAGCATATGAAATTATTTTATACTATTCTTACCATTGGAGGAGAAGGGATTGTGGCATGGTCCTTCCCCTCTGTGGGGCTGGTTATTTCTCGCTTTTTGTCTCTGTCTCTTTCTGTCTCTCTGGTAAATGCGCACACCCTATCGCAAAAACCTCTCAAAAAAAAAAAAAAAAAAAAAAAAAAAAAAAAAAAAAAAAAAGGAAAAGAAAGAGAAACCCCCTCCCTCCTGACAGGCAGGCTGAGTCACCTCTGGCTTCAGACTCTCTGGCACACTTTGTCTCAATAAACTCCTTTCTTCTTGAGATGATGTCTCCTGAGTCTTACTTTGAACCATGAAGATGTAATCAGAACACTGATAAATGGTTGAGCTATAAACATTTTAAAAACTCATGCAAAAATATTCACCCACATTATAATAGAAGTAAAATATATTAGTAATCAGTTAACATGTGCTTAACATGTGCTTCTGAATTTAGTAAAGATTTTCAAAATGAGACCAACCTATTAAGGAGAACCCCTGGTAGAGTAAGTTGGCATCACTTTTGGAAAAGCAATTTGGCAATAATGAGACTTAAAATGTTCATAACCTCTTATTTAGTAATTTCAATTCTATAAATATTTCCTAAGAAAACGATCCTTAATTCAGAAAAAAATATGGATATAGTTTCTCTTTCTGCATTTAAAAATGTAAAACTGAATACAACATAAGTGTGCAAAAATAAACAAGTGACTAAGCACACTTAACCCATTTTGTATTCCTTCAAAATATAAGCAGATGTTATATGCAGATGTTATAACAAAAAGGGAACTAGTTCTGTTATAATGTTACCACAAAAAGCTGGATATATGGTTTTAGGTATATTATAATTTCAGTTATGCAAAGTAAACTGTATGCAAATAAAAATGGAAAAGAATACAACATATTTTGTACTTTCATGGTGATGAGAAACATATAAGATTTTTACATCTATTTTATTATCTCCTTTTACATAATATGCATGTTTTCTCTTACGATGAAAAGATGTGTAGTAAAGAAATAAAAAGTACATAAAAAAATACAAGAGGAAGGACCCATCAATGCGGCGTTGACACCACAGTGAATTGATGTGGAGCCAGCCCTCACAATCCATTGCACAAGTGATTGAATTTTTCACTGTCCTTTTCAAAATTGTCATCTTTCTGCATGTTGACAGTCGAACTGATGGCTGGGAATATACTGCAGTGCCTAATCTCTAAAGAATTAGAATGTTAGTTATTCCTATCCTGCTTCATATCTAAACTAAAGAGGAAACGGCATGACTAATAAAATCTTCTTTAAAAATAAGTATTTCAAATGCCATAATTATCAATAAACATCTAGCTTGATATGATCAAACACTGTGCAGTTTTTCTTTTCAAGAGAAAGTAGTCAACTTATATTCTTTAATGTATTTTAAAATGTAGGCTAAAAGTTCTCTCAGTTTTAAAAATAATTGTGTTAACTAATTTACTTTGCAAATATCTAATGCCTTTTTGAGGACCTGGAAATTATCAAGTGAATTTTTAGGCAGAGAAATGGAATGAAAGAATTTAAAATGCCTCTTACCTGACATGCTTCTTTTTTCAGCAGAAGTCTTAAGCAGCCATAAGGCATAGGTAGTTAAAAAAAAAAAAACAACCTTCTTTTTTTCCCTAAGTAATGTTGCTCTGTTATATTAAAAGCAGCATGGCAGTAAAACTTGGTCTTATCGGTGCTTCTGGTTTTTTTTTTTTTGTCTCTGTTTCTTGAAATCTTTTGTGTGTACTTTGTTCAGTTACAAACAGGAAATGTGGTGATGGAGGCTTCTAGAGTTTAGATCTGAAAGTAGTAGACTTCAATTGTGTAATGTGGGGAGAAACATTGCACGAGTCTCCATACTGTGGTACTTGAATTTTTATCAGTATCTGAGTCTAATTTAAAAATAAATACTTCAATCAAAGTACGAATTACAGTAGGAGGGATCTTTCATAGCTCTGGAGACATTTCAGGTTGTCTCTTTACAAGTAAATTAATACTTGAAGCAAAATGAAAAAGATTAAACTGATGAGTAAATAGTATGCAGCCAACTGGATGTGCTCAGCTGTGTGCTATGTTTTCTATGAGACAGCAAGGAGGAGAGGGGATTAATACTTTCTGAGCACTGACTATGTGCCAGCTGCCTCCTGCACATCATTCCACTGGAAAACTAGGTGTCTGCCTTGTTTTCCACCAGCTCTCACTGCAGCTAGCGTGTTTCTCTGTTCAATCTGCAGTCACCTGGCAACAAGCTCTAGATCCCAACCACCATCCCAGAGTCAACATTAGAAGCTGCTAAACATTAGTGGACACTGGTTTAGAATCCTGAGCCCTCCTGAATTAGAATATTTGGGGTGGAGCCCTGGAATCTGCATTTAAACAAGCACTCTGGTTATTTCATTATAGGTGTTCTGGATAATCTTTTGAAAAACTCATACATACAGGATAGAATTGATCTTATTCATCATTAAAACTCTAGAACCTAGTATTACACCTGACATAGTTTAGGTCTCAATAAATATTATTGAAATAAACGATTAAATAAGTAAAATAATGCTACAATCTTCTGTTTCTCCCTGCTCCGTTGTTCAAGATAACACCCTAGTAAGCAAAAACAGTGCTTTTTAATTCACTGGACAGAGCTGGCTAAACACTAACAGCGTTTTTCTACTTCAGTCATTCACCCAAAGTATTTCTTGCTAGTCATTGAATTGGATTCTGTAGAACTGAACTAGATCATGGAGATTTCCTAGTCTCATCTTTTTTTCTTTCTCTCTCTCTCTTCCTTCCTTCCTTCCTTCCTTCCTTCCTTCTTTCCTCCCTACTCTTCCCTTCCCTTCCCTTCCCTTCCTCCCTTCCCTTTCCTTTCCTTTCCTTTCCTTTTTTTTTTTTGAGAGGCTTTGCTAATAGGGCATGTGCACTCACCAGAAAGAGAGAGACAGAGAGACAGAAAGCAAGAAATCATCTCCTGGAGGGAATGGCCGTGATGCAAGCCCTTCTCCTCCATTCTCCTCTCAGGATCTTGGGCACACACGCACATGAGCCTGGTGTGAGTTTAAGCGACTGGGTCTGGGACTCGAACTGTGGTTGACCACATGGGAGTCCAGCGACATAGCCATTATGCCAACTGCTGTTCCCCTTAGTCTCATCTTCTAAAGGCATTTTTCAGAATATGGTCCATGGAATACTAGGCTGTCAAGAAACTCTAGGAAAGCACATCCTTCCTTAAATATATTTGGGGAAATTGTATATTATTTTCACCTTTATAGATGTATATTAGTACATTAAAGGTTTAGGTAAGCCTAAATAAAGAAAAAAATTTTAACAGAACCTTTTCTGAACTTATGTGGCCAGAGAAATCATTGTTTAGCTGCCATCTGTTAGCAGGGTGACAGGTTCTGTGAGGCAGGTCTGGTGCATATAGACCAAGACGTCAATGGAACAGCAGTCTCAGATTTATGTAGAGACCAGAGGACAACAAAGAATCCGAAGGTTATAACCTGGAATTAGATGGAAAAAAGGGTGGAGACTGCTGAGAGCTGAACTCCAGATGTCCAGGCAGGTTTGAACACCTGAGACATCAGTTCAAGAGAAGTGGGTCCAGTTGTGAGATGGCCTTGAAGGACTGAACTTAGGTCCTGAAAGAGGGTAGCTGGGAAGGAGGGTGGAAGTCCCAGGGACAATAGGAGTCTGCGTAGGTGTCCTAAGCAAGACTTGGGAAATGGGAAAAGTGGATGCCCCATAATAAAAAGAGAGGCATTCAGCAGACAGTGGAGAGAGAGAGTCCTAGGGCTGGGAATTGAGGGACCAGCATCCCTCTTTATAAAAAAAACTTTGCAGAAAATGAGCAAAGATGGAAGGAGGATGCCCTCCTCCTGTTTGATCCATAAAGTACAATTCTAGAAACAAGAATAGAGTTTGGTAGTTGGCTATAAGTGCAGAGAAGGTCCAACTCAGCAATGACTTGAGCAAAAATGCAAGACTTCTGTGGTTAGCCCAGCAGATGTTCCTCTCAAGAAGAAAGGAAAAGAAACCTACCTACTTGGCCAATGACAGTCCAAGGGCCTCCCTGCTTCAAGTCTGCAACTACATCCACAAGTTTGCAGGAAGTTATGGAAGGTAAGAGCAGGGAGACAGGCAGGTACCCAGAAAGGATATATCCTGCTTTGGGTCAACAAGGGAGTCTATAATATACATAGAGGGATTCCCTAATGACCTAAATCCTAACTGCATGATCACCAGCTCCAGACTTGTAAAAACTTAGGCTAATAAATCCAAATAACTTCATGATTTCTAATTATTACAATCTTTTTTTTTTTTAAATGAGCTGCATTATAATGTTCCCCATTCCATAGATTCATTTAATTGGGAGAGATAACAAGATTATCCAAGGTCACATGGGAAGGTCATGCCTGAGCATTCAATAGCTCCACAGGTGTTGGAAATTTTCCAGGAAAAAAAGAAAGATTACTTTTTTATTAAATATACATGACTGAACATCTGGAGACATGAGAATAGTAAAAGGCCTATGGAATAATGTTTGTTATGAAATATATTAGTGCATTCAGAGATTGGAATGATGGTCTCATGAGCCACGTTCACATAGTACATAAACATAAGGTCTCTGTTGTACTTTTTAATGAGTTGGGTTATTAAAATAAAGTTTAAAAGATAGCCAGACTAAGCAGAAATGAACTGACAAGGTTGAAGCAGTTAGAAATGTTGTCGAAAATTGAGGGGAAAGTTTGATGGGCACCTGTCAAGAAATGTGAATTTTAAGGCCAACAAAATTGAGGTTTTCTTGCTGAAAGTAAGTGCAAAAATGGCACCTGCCATTCAGAGTTCCACACTCAGAAAAATGGGTCACAGAATGTAGAAAGTGACCCAGTTATTTGAACCTCTTTTTTTTATAATCTATAATTTTTATAATTAATCTATGTCACCATAGTGTATTTATTTATATATATGTGTGCATAATATACATTTTTTTCAAGGTGTCAACCTGTCAAAAGTAGATTTATAATATACTTACCAAAATATTTATAATTTAAATGACTTATAGGGGCATACACTACTTTTATAATTAGAATGAAATATGCTGTCTTATTTTAAAGGTTCTGTAAAATACCTTTGTTTTAACAACAGTTTTATATCTCTGTGTCATTTTCATTTTCCTGGTGAATTGTTCCTTAGTTGTTCTGAAGCAAGCAAGAAGTTAGTGAACACCTTTGTGGGACAAAGAAAGGGAAGGCCCCTCTGTTTCCAATTATGCTGTTTAAAAATGTAAAATAATTGAAAAATAAATTATGAGTTTACACTAGCGTTTATTAGGCTGTATAGAAAATTCATATTTTCACTGAGTTTAAGCTGGAAGAATCCTCCAAAAATCATTATTCAGGTGGAAAAGAAAAAACGAGAGCAATAGAACAATCCATGGACTTGGAATTCGATCCTTGTATCTTTTCATTACACTTACTATGCCTTACACAACCAGACTTTTTTTTTTTTTTTTTTTTTGGAGAGTTTTTCGCTATAAGGCATGTACGCTCGCCAGATAGACAGAGAGAGACATAGAGATATAAAGCAAGAAATCATCGCCTGGGGGGATGGTCACGCTGCAATCCCTTCTCCTCCATTCTCTTCTTGGGATCTCGGGCACTCCCACACACGCGCCCAGCGTGAGTTTTAAGCCGCCGGGGCCGGGACGTGAACCACAGTCGACTACGTGGGAGTCCAGCGACATAGCCATTATGCTAACTGCTGGTTCCCACAACCAGACTTTTTGGAAAATCAAACAATAAAATAAAAGGAGAGATAACTAAACACAGAAAGCAGAGAAAAACATCTAATAGGAGATATCTACAGTCTACTTTTCTTCTTGCAACAGACTAAAGAATTCAATTTTCTGGAAGACCAGAGTTTGTCCCACTATACTGTTTCTGTGTACTGCTCTAAAGAGAGTACTATTAGGTCTGTTTTTTCTATGTGAAAATGTGTCATGATTTCCCTGATCACCCAATAGCAATGTAAAAGGATTCTGAAAAAACTTGTTTTTACTGCAAACTCAATTGATCCAAACAAATTAAAACCAGTTTACTTACTGTAAGACTTCTCATAGCTTTAGTTAGCTAATATACAATTTCACTTCTCAAGAAAGGGATATATTATGGAATATGCTAACCAGTATTAAAAAAAAATAACCTCACAAGAGTAACTTCTTTAAAGCATTTTGTAGGACTACCATTTCAAAGTATGTGTTTTAGGAAACACTGGGTCAGAATTTTCTGTGTTAAACTGGCTCTTAACCTTCTGGACTCCTCCTACATTCTGGGCCTGGCTTACTTGAGGGACACTAGGTTAATATTTATATTACCACCCGATTATGAATTTATACAATTAAAGACATTTTCCTTGTGTTTAGAAAAGAAATTCAAATGCCATAGGGCAGGCAACACAATGAGTATTCTCAGAATAGCTTACACAGTGAGTCTAGTTCTAGTGGATTCTTCATCAAAAAAGACATGCTGCAAATTAAACATTTATCAAAATAAAAGGTTGGGTGCTAGACTATCACTAGAGGAAGGCAAGTTCTAGTTGTGGGACCTTTGTACTAGGAACAGAGAAGAAGCAGGTGCACCAAGAAATGCAGTAGTCAAGCTAGAAGTAGACCCTGGCATGGTGGTTAAGGTGCTGGACACCCACATG